ACAGAAAAAGCGATGATTTCTCCTCAAGTAAAATTGTCCAGAAGTCAGAAGTAAAATACCTCTCCATTCGAATTTCCGGGCGAGAGGTGCTAGTACATACCTAGTATGCCTACGGTCCTAATTTGAACGTCCTCAGTACGTATGTACGAAACGTTCTCAGTAAATTTCCCTAACAACACGAGTACGTCCCAGGGACGTCCTTCATTTTCTACGAGGACGTCCCTGGGATATCCTGTGTCGGAACATGGTACATAATAGGGACGTCCCAGGGACATCTGCTTTCCACAAAAAGAGGCATCCTAGGGATGTCCTTCTGGTACGTCCCAGGGATGTACCAAGTACAAAGAAAGGATATCCCTAGGACGTTCCAAGGATATCCCAGGGACATCCCTTCGACAAAAGAAAAAAAAATGTAGGTCGATTACGGATTGAACCCGGGACCTTTGGCTTATCAGGCAAGCATCATACTCCATTGGCTATTGAGCCTCCTGAAGATTTATGTACTAAACAGATTTATAAACAGGACTTAACTACAGAAACCTGAATAAATACAACTTTGTTAGGATTTGGGTATAATTATTATATCATATTCTTGGGTGTTTGAAAACGAGGAGCATTATGCATGTACGATTTCTGTTTGCGAAAAATTGTAATTTCTCAAGAAGTTCTGAAACTCCATTCTTTATTTTCATTACGATTATTTTCTGGAAGAAAAACAAACATTTTCAAAAAAATGAAACTTAATACTTTGATGAAATTCAATGACCACTGCGCGACATCCCCTGGATGCCCCAATCATGTCCTTGTACCGCGGGACAAAAAAGGGACGTACCTAGGACATCCCTGTGTTGTTAGGGTTTGGGGACGTACTCGTGCTATATCGGGAGGGGGTTTACCATTGGCTAATAAAAGCCTCAAAATAGACCTAAGTAACATCCGTGGTCTAAGTATAAGAACATCAACGATGCTCATCGACACCTTCAAACTGAAAAGCATATTAACCCTGATTGAGACACAGGTCAAGTAATCCACCAATACGACATAAGAACCTATATTTGCTGTGTCCTTGGTACGAACTACACATACACGTTTCAGGCTCAAGGGGGGTCTCTGATATGTCACTATTCTAAAACGAATCTCTCGTAATATGAGACATATTATGTCATCGGGAAAAAACTTCGGAACTAAATAAGTTTGTACTCAAGTGTACTTAAGTGTATGCTCTTAAGCTTCGTCCAGAACCCATTGGCATTGAGACCGATTCTGGACGGAGCTTATTGTGATGGTACACAGTACCTACCAGCGCAACCGAACTCCATTAACAGTTTTTTTTTTGGAGGCTCACCTAATTTACCAAAAATGGTAATGCTAGCCGAGAAATTACCTCTCATATGCGGGCTTTGCCCTGGGAAATAGGACTGGTTTGACCTAAACAACCCAACTAGCATTTTCAGTCACAGGCACCATGGTTCAAGAAACTATTACCTATATTTAGTGATAATAACGTATTTATCACTTATTTCAGAACTTCATAGTATAAATGTCAGTGATAGTTATTTAGTGAGTGAAAATTACGTAGTTTTTACACTAGATAATAACTTCAAAGTGAGAAATTCTCATGGCTTATTACGAAGTAACTATTTCGAAACTGTCACTCCTCAAAACTACTCTTAAGGTTTCGGAACTTTGGATATATTATTACGGTAACGCTTACCACCCCAAGAAGGCTTCACAGTTGCAATTACTCTATGGTCACCAATTAGGTTTCTACGACGTTGTCGTTACTTGATCGATCACCTAATAATTCAGTCAATTCTTGGTGATATTTCAAGTAACATATTGGTAATTCCTACTCAAACAATTCCTTCATAGTTGAAACAACTTTTCGGTAATTATATTCAGTTGAAGTTACCAATACATAGATTATCATAACTGACGAGTTCCAAAAGTAACTTTCTGATTCATTTTCGATTGGAAGCCATATTGATTGATGTGATAACCATTTGAACAGGAAATAATTTTGGTTTTTCTTGTTGATAAACATCATTTTATGAAGAATAAAAGCATTCGTTCGATCACAAATTGCATAATAATGGAAATTAACATGATTTACGATGATTTTTGAAAAATAGCCGAATGAAATAAAACCATATTTTTGGTGAAATGAGCCGTATTTTGTGGGCGCATCTTGAATTTCGAGGCAAAATCATCACATTTATCGAAAAACTGAATGTTGTTCGAATTTTTCAAGTTCGAGTATCAATTATTTCGCGTGTTTGTCCTTGTATTATTTATTGAATGGTTAGGCATATTGGACTTGTTCATTTTTCGTGAATGTGAACTTCATGGATGAAATGAAGAATAATAAAGAGAGAAAATAATATTTTTATGAAGTGGAAAAGAAATAGAAAGTCAGGTAGGAAAATTTACTACATCTTTACGTAATTTCGACGTCGACGGGTCGTAAGCATTACGTAATTGTGTGAGTTCCCGCTACGTCGGCAAACCGTAATAATTACTCGTGATTTGTTCCCCATTTTGGTCGTAAATACGTAGTAACGACGTAATTATAACGTAACCGCAACTAGTAAATATTACTTAATAGTCGACCCAATAGTCGTAATTACGTAATCGCGACTATAAATGCTAGTTGGGAAATCGTACGGACAGTCTGGCTGCGCCCTCCTGGTTAACACCAGCCAGCTCTGATCAAGTGAAAGTTCAATACCTCTTATTGAAACATTTTTAAAATGCGGATGAAATAAATGAATATACTTTGAGAATTCCCTGCTCGATATGACAAAGGGCCCAGGATCGAATCCCGTACTCCAACTTTTCTATTCATTTTTATTTTTCCGATTGATTAATTGAACAGAAAAATTATGTGGAAAGTTTAGGGTGTTTTGTTGATTCCATCGAAGAATCACGATTAATCAAGAAAGTCCGCACTGATTGATGCGCTTTTTTGTCGTGACGCTCTCGGCGGGAAAATTTCTGTACACTTTATTCTGCGCCAATCAAGGGTACTTATTGGTTATAAACCTACCATATTTATATATCAAGGGAGGAAAGGTATACATTTACTGCCGCGTGTGAAGTTTGGTGCACGACGCGTCGTAGCGCCCAGATAGCACACGACGTCCCGGGGACGTACATATTACGTCCGATTCGGGTCCGTACGTCCCGGAACCTGATATGGACGTCCTCAGAACGTACCATGCCGTACGTCTTCGGGACGTACGGAGCGTACGTTTTCAGGACGTCCATTTTTAGTCTTCATTTTTTCAATATTCATAATTCACTCTATATTTATTATATTCTCCAATAACAATAAAACATTGCCAGATGTGATCAAATGGAGAAGGAATAAGGGCCCTTATTAATGGCTGCCGATCAATTCGATAATAGGTCACAAGATTTTTTGTGACCAATGTGGAGAAATTGAAGTAAATCTGGCAATGTTCGCATATATATTTTTATCCTAAATAGAGTGTTACGTTACCTCTTTATTGGATTCAGAGATTTCGTAGGATATACTTAAAGATGAAATTATGTACACATATTGTCTTACGTCCTGGTCTTTATACTGATTCATAGCGAATTCCATTGAAATGAGCTGGTGGAGTGTTTCTGCACTCAATGTTTACGTTTCCATCTTATACTCGCATATGTTGAACAGAGGTAAGTCTTATATTCAATAAGTGTCGTGTAGAGTTGTTGGTAAAGCATCTGCTCGGTAATTCAGAGGTCGCGGATCGATCCCCCAGTAGGAAGGATTTTTTTAATTTTTTTATTCAAAATAATATTTTTTTACTCTCTAAATGTCTTGTTTATCTATCTGAGTAAAAAAGGGCGAATCTACGTTGATTATGGTATTCATGGCGATGAAATACCAAACTTGGACTTAATATGGACGTCCCTGGGACGTTCCACCTTGTAACATCGGACGTCCCCAATACGTCCTGTGGACGTCTTCGACCGACACTGGACGTCTTCAGGACGTCTTGTACGTCCCAGATGTACGTCCTCTGGACGTACACAGGACGTCTTCGTGTTATCTGGGCGGAGGGCATTAAACACACATGGGAGGAAATGAACCTTTGCTCCTATGATTTATACATGATTTTATCAACGAACGCATTCTTTCAAAGCATGATTCTTGAAATTGTGCTTCAGGCGGTCTATCTCTCGATCCAAATCATTATACATATAGTATGCCATGGACAATTATTCACAACATTTGAACGAAAGTCAATTTGACACTTATTCTGTCATCATGAATTAATTGATTTGTATATTGTGTAACTGCATTTGAAAGTTTTAATTCGAAGTACGTTCAGAATATGAAGAAGCGTAGCATATCAATGGAATTCAAAAAGGATATTATTTTTACTTGTTTTATAATAGTGATAAAGATGATGATTTACTTGGATTGCACAGCTGCTAAGTATAGTTATATTGACACCAAATGATGCATATGCTGAAGCGAATTTATTTCATCTTCCACGGGAGTTAATATTTATTTCCTCCCGTGCGAGTGAATTGACAACTTTGTTTCCTCAAATGAGAGAGCAAACGCCTACTTTCGATTCAGTGAGTAGATACAATTTTTTATTGTTTCGCTGCCACGCTCCCGCGTGCTCCCGCACTGTGACGTACTGGCACCGCGATGATTATTTGTTGCCCCCTGTCTGTAGGTGTTAGTCTGTGTGTCTGTGTTCTGTGATATCTGTGTTCTGTGGTCTTCTGACTCTTCTGTCATAATAAAAATAATAGATAAAAAAATAAATAAAATTCTAAAGAAAAAACAGGAAATTGATTAATGACAATTTTTCAGTCATATCTAATATTTTCAAGAGAAGAAAAACAGTGTTCATTCACTCCTATTGTTGCCATTTTACAACTATTTTTACAATAAGGTACCAATTCATATTAATTGATGGGATCATGATAATAATTATTGATGTGTATTTTTTCCAGGAGCATTGCTATAGTCCTAAATGGAGAATGGACATAATATTCGTGATTTCTCAGAATTTTGTGACCAACTCAATGAGATTAGATTGAAATTCCATAAATGGGATGGCTGCGAAAAAACTGTGGGGCTCTACTACTTGATGGTTGGACTACCCTTTGCAAATGCAAGGTTCATACAACATGCTTTAGAGCAATGTATCAGTTCAGTAAACACCACTGAAGCACAAATTGTAGAAAGAAATGCTAATGATCCATTGTATATATCTAGTTTCATTCTTGAATCACCACAGGTAGCTTTAAATTTACTTCTGAGGCATTTACCTTTATTGATGCCAAGGAATAAGGAAGCTGCTGATTGTTATTTGAGAATCATCAGGCAGGTGCTTACTGAATTAATTTCTCCTCCACTGAAAATATATAATGAATGTGTGGAGATAATGTCTTATGTTTACATCCATCCTGCCTTCAGTAGTGAAGAAAAAAAATCATTCAAACAGTTGCTCAAGCAAGTTTTGAACAAGATAAGTCCACAGAATTTCATCAGCTCTTCTGCAACAGAGTCCAGTGATGATTCAGTGAGTCCCAATCCAGACTCTCAAGAAAATTTCAAGCAAAGGCGATCAAATAGCCTGACTGTTCCTCAAGAGATTAATTCAATTCCCAACTATGAAAACTGGTGCTCCCAAGAAAATCTCAGTGAACCCCCTTGCAAACCTCGTAGTTACTCACTATCAAGTGAGAAGTCCCTTTTGGCAGGTATCACTGGCTTACAATCTAGTAGATCAGAAACTAGATTAGAGGATCTGAAATTGATGAACAATCTACCAGCAATGAAGAGCATAATTTCCTGGTTGAAATCCTTGAGATTGCACAAATATAGTTGGGTGTTCAATAATCTCACATATAGTCAAATGATTAATTTAACAGAGGAAACACTGCAAGATATAGGGATTACCAAAGGGGCCAGACACAAAATTTTATTGAGCATTAATAAATTGAGAGAGAGGTCCACCATGTTGACAGAATTGGAGACTGAAGTAATGAATGGGTGTGACTTGAATATAGCACTGAAGAAACTTAAAGGGGTTTTACAAAGTCCCTTGCAGATATCTCTGGGTGAAGATTTGCCTCTGCAGTTCACTAAAGTCATGGGAAAAGGTAAGAAACACATTCTCAGTTTTTCCAATGTTCATTTTTCACGATTTTTCAGTAGCCAGGTCATTCCCTAAATCTGATAACATAACCAGACAAAAAGATATTTTAACTGTCATCAAAATTAAACTAGATATGGGTAAAAGACTCAGTAAAAGATCTATTTTATACATTGGAACAATTCTCTATAATGAATTACCTGCCAGACTGAAGAAAAAACTAAGTGTTGATAAATTCAAAAAAGAAATGGAAAAATACTTATGTCTTTGATTCTCTTCATCCTAAATCAATTCAAGAACTGCTATAAACATATAATTATGTTTCTTGGGAATAATGAAGATTATTATAATTAGATATTTTTTTAGTTTTGAGATTATTCTAGAACATCACTGAATTTATTGAATATCGAAAATCATTCTAAGGTGTAACATTCCTGAAACTAGAATATTTCTGAAATATCTAGAATATCATAAAACAGTGCTGTCATGTTTAGAAAATCCTATAACATTGCTAGTTCTGAAACATTCATGTTAATTCTAAAACATAGAATATTAAATATCATTGTAGAATATTCCTGAAATTTCCAGACTATTTCGGAACATTCTTTAATATGCCTGAAATTAGTGAAACTTTCCTGAAATTACTAGAATATATGAGATCATTCTAGAAGATGATAGTAGGGAGTTGGCAACATGAACCACTTATCAAAGTAGCAATTTTTGTTTAGACAATTAACAAAAGTGATGTGCAGGTGATGCTGGAGCATTTTTTTCTTGAAAAAGATCCACATACCACATTTTAGAGATTTCATGATTTGTTTTTCAATATGTTTGTTCCAATTTGGAAAATATTTATTTTTATACAGTGTGTTCCAATTTGCTCTCTTGGAAGGTTGCAACTATTTGTTTCATCAATTTTCATCACTCTAAAAATTGTCATCAAGTAATGCCCTGAAACATTGCCTAATGCAATAACAGAAAAACAACAAGCACTGAGAAAACATCAGACTGTTCAATTTAGAAACAAGAATTGATTTAGTCTAGGCAACATTGTTGAGGGATACATGCCTGTTCCTCAAAACAATGATGAAATCTATTATGCGCCCGCAACTTCAATTTCTGTCATGTCAAGATGATTGTTGGGTGTTTGAAAGATAAGTGTCATTGGAAGAAATGAAAAATATATACCTACATATAAAAAAACAACTCTTCAAACAACAAGAAACAAGAAATCGGCAATAAAATTAATTATCATTGTTGTTGCCAAAAAAACACTTTTTTGAAAAACTTACAATCAATAAAATTAAGAGACCATAGGTTAGGTCAGTTGAGTCAATTTTTCTTATGACATTACCGATTGGCAAATTATTTGAGTTAGAAAAAGCTATTTTTATCCGATAACAATAGTATACTACACACCGAGGTGGGAAGTGATTCATTCCTGTCATGAGATTAGTTAGTTAACCCAGGTCCCAGACGCAAAGCGTCCAGGTTAGCTATAATTTCGAGACAGGAATGAAACATCCTACTGAGTTTGTATACTATTCTATTTACAACCATCATATTTTGATCCAAATTAATAAATCTATGTTTTGTTGTTCTGAACATACCTGAATTATTACATGAGTGAGGGCGGGAAGTAGTTAGGGGCGGGAAGTAGTGAGGGGCGGGAAGTAGAGGTGTGTAATGTGACACTTCCCAACCTTCAATGACGTTAGTAATGACAACATTACATATATGGTTGTAAATAAAAGATCTTGTATTTTTACTCTTGATGGAACTTTTCAAAAAAAAATTCAGTATACAGTCGACGACCATATTCATAACGAAAATTGATATCCAAACAAGAGGTATGTTTCATTTTGATTCATCATTTAGAAGTAATCTAGTTCACTTTTATTTAAATGCTCTAAAATGATGAGAATAAGTCCATCAATATATTTTATTATATGACTATATTCTTCCAATAACTTTAAACCAATCAGAAGGTTCAATTGATCTAAAGCTACCTTGTATAATTTCGAATATACGTGGATATATATAGAGCAGTTCCACCAATCAGTAATTTAGAATTATTTCCATTTCCATAGTAACCATAGTAACAATGCGCGTCCTCAAATGTCGACGTTTTTTCAGTCAGAACTACTCAAACAATAATCACATGGAATACAATTCCAACTACAAAATCTTCAAGGTTATAAATCATGATCTTCCTGCAGTTTAACTGTTGAACTGACACTCTTTGTAATTATGCTACCAGTTATCGTTGATAACCCGGTTATAGTATTACTACTGATAATACATCTTGTAGCCCAATATTCAGTTTCAACAATACCATGGGGTAAAAGACTGCAAATATATCAGATAAATCCCATTAAAAACAAGGAAGTTGTTGATAAAAAAAATGAAGGATGTGGCAATGTGAACGATGGTCAAATTCTGAGTTTTGTCTTCTACACACACTGGCACAATTTGGGGAACGGGTGAAATTTACACTAAGTTTGACATCAATTTTCTCTCGAACCGATCACTCGATTCAAATTTGTTTTTCATAAATTGTAGCTTCATTCTTCACGAATACATCTGAGAAATAACCACCTCCAAACGATTCGTCTTTATATCATATACAGGGGTGTAAAGAAAGTACGGATTTTCGGTATTCTTTAAGACATCCTGTGGAGTGAACCACTGATAATTGAAACGATTTTCCAACACGAAATTGGAGCCCAATCTATTCCGAATATTTTCATTTTTAATTCATCTTGATATCCCAATTATCAAAGAAAATATAGAGTTTCAAAGAAGAGGTGGATATTGGTATCAATTTTACCACCTCGAAACTCGAACTGGGGAGAACGTGTCGTTTTTCAACTTGTTTCTGTGAGGATTTTTACTTCAAGATGAGAATTGTTCACAGTTTTACCTATTGGTTTACTGTTTGAAGACACATAATATACGAATACTCCCATGAATATGCAGGGGTGATAAACGTTGCTCCAATGTTCTTTTGGTGAAATGCTATTGTTGTTAATCAACGTTGGCTATTTTGTTAATGTCATTAATTATTGTCAAAGTCAAGCGATTCACAATTCATAAATTTGATTATTGAAAATTCAACATGAGAGATTCGACTCCTACTGATGTGGCGAGGGCTGTAGCATTAATTGAAAATGAACAATTTGATTTTACTGCTTCTGTCTCCTATGGCAGAGGTTAAGTCACGGTTAGGTTAGGTTAGTCGAGAAACTACACATTTTCAGATCCAATTTGAGTTTAGAGGTGTAAAATTGATACCAATATCTACCTTTCCTTCGAAACTCTGCATTTTCTTGAATAATTGAGATATCAAGATGAATAAAAAACGAAAATATTCGGAATAGATTGAGCTCCAATTATCAGTGGTTCAGTCCACAGGATGTCTAAAAAAATACCGAAAAATCCGTACTTTCTTTACACCCCTGTATATGATGGAAAGACTCATCGTTTGAAGGTAATTATTTCTCAGATGTATTCGTGAAGAATGAAGCTACATTTCGTGAAGAAAAAAATTTGAATCGAGCGATCGGTTCGAAAGAAAATTGATGTCAAACTTAGTGTAAATTTTGCCCGTTCCCCTAATTGTGCCAGTGTGTGTAGAATGCCCATAAAACGATTCACTTCCCGTTCCTCTCGAGGAGAATATTACCCCGTACCTATTATTTTCTTCAGTTTGTACTCAGATTCTGATGCTACGGCAGCCCTCAGACGATTATATCATGTTGTTCACATCTTTGTGTGAACGTGCCGAAACGATGGACGCTTTCACTGATGATCAGAAGAAACGGTTGAACATGTGGAAGTGTCAATTGCTGGAAGGAGATCCTGTCTCAAATTTGAATCATAGGAATCAAAAGATATCCAGTAGTAACAGGTAGGTGATGTCAGTTCTACAAAAATGTTTCGGTATATTCCATTTGTTGGAATTTTGTTCATGATTGGCTATTCAGAATTATAAAAAAAAATCATAACAAAAGGGATCAACCCATATGATTCTGATATACGCTTGGCTGACTTTAGCACAGTAATCTATGGCACAGTTAACCCATAAAAAGTTCAAAGCCTCCTTGAATGAAAAATGCAAAACCTATTTCGATGATAGAAATCTTCTTTTTGCGCCTTTATTCAGATAGGTACACGGTTCAAGATAAATTTTTTTGATGAATTCAAATCTAATATATGTATAAAATTCTCCTGTCCCTATCACGGTGTTCAATGCCAAACTCCTCCCGGCTTGCCGATTCTCATGAACATTTTTGTGCGGTCGTCAAGCTTTGGAAATTCAAGATGACGGACCCAATATGGTGGACGAGTTTTGTAATTATGATCCGATTCTATTCAAAATTGGTATATTATGGAAGTTTTCGGGGTCGGAGATTATGATTCTTTCGTCAACTTTCAGAAATTCAAGATGGCTGATCCAATATGGCGGAAGTTTTGCAATTATGACCTGATACTACTCAAACTTGGTATCTGAAGGTTTTTGAGGTCGTGATTATAATGAAAAGAAGTAAAAAATAAATAGAATAGTTTGAAAAAATAGCGAAACACCCTTTCATGGATAGCCAAACTAAAAATAAGTAGAAAATAAAATAATAAAAGTGTGTTGATAAATATTTATGGCAAAACAATAACGTTTGCTGGGTCAGTCAGTATCATATAAAGAACACATAAATTAAATCGATGATGATATTAAAATGTAAGTACTTGTTATAAATTAGAAATAATATCGAGAAATTGAAATTCTTTGATTTAGTGGGAGCAAAAAAATATTTTTTTCCAATATGAAGCACAAAGTTGCGTTAATTTATTTAGCACCCCCGCCAAAAGAAGAGCCAGCCTCCTTGGCCGATATGGCCGATTTACCGATACCGATATACAGTGTGTCCCACTTACCATGCTCACCATGGGTATCTTTTTAACGGTGAGAGATACGAGGTCGGTTAAATGACACCAAATGTGGAGTTTGTCAAGGCCAACTATAATGTGAAAAAATATTTTGATAAAATCCATTTGTTTTTGTTTTATACACAAAAAACAGATTTTGGTCATTTTCCTCCGTAACTTCTTTATTTATGAAAATATTCAAATAGGAATTTCACATTCTCATGGCAGTTTTTCAAAGTGATTTCGAAAAAAATATGAAATTATGCAATTGTCCTCCCATTCGTTGTTTATAAATTTTATAACATATCGCTGAAAGTTGTCAAGACCTCGTCGTATATTATATGATGCAATTTCATCAGGTATGGAGTTCCAGAATAGAATAATCTGAAATAAGAAAGGAGAACATTCTTCCGGCAAGAAGAGATAATAGTGTTCTTTCAAATAGGCGGCCGGTGGACGAGAGCGCGAAGGCGCTGAGTTCGTATGGGGACTCCCACTGAGGCATGGGTTCGAATCCCAGTTAGGCCATGGATGTTTGTAAATGTATGCTTTCCTAACCCCGCACAAGTTTCGACTTATGGGGCGTTGGATCCAGTTCTGGGTCCAACGAGGAAATGCAATTGAAAAAAAATCTAACTTCATCATGATTCAACAGTATTATTATAAAGTTCAAAATGGAGGTGATCGGAAGTCGCGCTTATGAACCCGTAAACAACATATCGAAATTGCAATCACCATCAGGCTCAATAGTATTCTCGCAAAAATTACTTGGAATGAAATCTTTGGTACTTCGACCACTTTCGGCGATATATTCACCGATTTGTTTTGACGTTTCTCATGAATAGTCGATTATTTTACAGATTGATGCCGGAGAATAAGAACCTAACGAAAATGTGCACCTCAATTCAAAACACCTACGCCAGAAAAAGTTCTTCCTTCCCTAACATGAAGAACAACACCCCCTGGACCGCTCATCGGCACTCTGTCGGTAGCGTGACTCTGCAAAATCAATTATTTCCCATGCAAAATCACCCCTTCGTTTTCGGTCGAGTCGCCCCCACCACTTATACAAACTGTTTCAATAATGTCAATGACGATGTCAAAATTCAAAGCGTCGGCGCCACACAATTGAAAGTGAAACAGGACAATTTGGACATCGAGAGCAGTCTGGAGTCTCTTTGTATTCAAATGATGGAGCATGCCTTGGGACCTTAGTGACGTTTTATTTTTTAGTTAATATTTGTGAGCGAATGATTTTATATGACGTACATTGGACTATCGGTTATTGTCAAATGTTTTCATTATTGACTAAATTTACATGAGCGAACTGTTTCAATATTTACAACAGCAATATTCACAATGCAGGTGCCCATGGGTTGAAAGTAAAACAGGATTATTGGATAATTTGGACATTGGGTAGTTTAAGTCTCTTATTGTTGAGATGATGGAGCCCGCGTTGGGACCTTAGTGACGTTTTATTTTTAGTCAATATTTGTGAACAGATATTTTGTACATGACGTTCACTGGACTATCGGTTATTGTTCAATGTTTTATTTATATCACACTTTATGGCACCTAAGTGGCTTTTAATTTTTAGTCAGTACTTGGAAGCGATTGATTTTTATGTGAGGAACACTGGACTATCGGTTATTGTAAGATGTGTTCTGAGTATCCTTGTGTTCATATGATGAGCATATGAGAACTTCGTGACATTTTAGTTTTAGTCAGTACCTGTAAGGGAATGTTTTTTTTATGACATTTAAAGTGAATTTTTAATGACTCTCAACAGGCAAAGAAAGTGTACTTTTACTGCCAAGGCAGAAAAAGTTTGTTGCTTTGCAAAGTTCCAAGTAATAGTTTGAATCTTGTTTTGAACAAATAGGGGGGGGGGGGGGTAAGTACTTGGTTGATGAGCCTTTTTCATAAACCGGGTGGTCCACAAATGTTGTAACTGTGGCGGGATATAAGGAAATATTTTTCCTGTAGCTTTGGAGGAAGTTATAAGGATTGATTGATTTCTCAGATAGGCTATTGTGAATCGTACATATAGAGGTAACGTTAATATGACTTGGAAAATCTGTGCAGACAAGATTGTGTTGTTCTTATAATTTCTCGTTAAGTATATGCGATGTTTTGAGGTTGAATTGCTCCTGTTATTGATTGATTTTTTCGTATGTTTGATCTGAATATCTGAATCCCAGATACAGGGTATATCTCTCGGTATATCTGCATGAGTAGCATGATCTTGAAAACTGGATTTGGCGTTAAAAGAAACATGGTAGTTGAACTAAAATATTTTCGTTATTGTGAAGCTTCCGGCACCTCGGGAAGTGACGTCATCATCGTTATTCAAGTTTTTTTTTGGAAAAACTGACAGATGCCATACACCATTTTCGTGAGAATCACAAGTTTTTGTAATATGCGGTGATTGAATCATGAATAATGATGGTCGAACGGATTACTCCTAATAATCACGATCACAGAATAATCTACAGTGTGCGCAAAAAAGTGGATTCAGTAAGTAAGTGTGAAATATTGACAATCTCTATTGTTTGAAATGAAAACCACATTTTTTGTTCTCAAAATGCAATTCTAAGAATCTAATTTATAAAAATAGAGTAAGCTGTACAAAATATCTACCGACAAATGAATTAGAGATTCATCATCTGCAAAAATGCAAATCATGGCTCATGTTGGTTAATATAGGTATTAGTCCCTAACTAGTTCACTGTCGCAAACCGTCTTTTCCTCAGAGCTCTATAAGATTCGACTTACGTATCAATTCTCTATTTCTGATAAACAAATGCAAGAATATTTCTGATTGTCATTTCAATCAGCATATGAAATAAATTTTCTGGATTGAATACCTACTGCAGATAACAGAAAACACAACACACATCTGAATACTCACATAATATGAGGATTATCTCTGAATATTTGCATATTGACTAGATGAAACAAGAATTTGACGATGAAGGTGACTTTTTTTATGCGAAAGTCAGAATTCGGTTCATGACGTCATCGAACCTGGCGTTTTTCAAAGTCGCCGAATTTAATTATTGAAAAAAAAAATATTTGCGATGATTTTAAATAACGTATGATTGCATCAAATACTATTTATACACGAAATGATCAATATAAAATAGGTTTGTGGCGTAAATTCGACTAGTGTGTACAACGACCCTGTGACATATTATGTACACCTACACTAGGTTACACTAACCATGCACTAGCACCGATATGTATTGTTCTGTGCCTGGTGCTCTGACTTCCGTGATCTGTGATAAAGATGATTAATAAACCAGTTCCAGCAGTCTTTGAATTCAGACGTCCCGTCTCCAACACTCTCCCAAGTCCACACCACAGACCCCATTATGGGTTTTGGCTATAGGGAAAATAATGAAAATTGGGGCTCAGTCTAATTATAGAATTGAATTATGAGAAGAAAAAATTGTGTTTCTACTTGAAAAAAATTAGGATTTTTAATGTTTCGCATTAAGTTTCTGGACCCAGTTTTCTGTCCTTTAAATCATTCAGTGGTTGTGATTATAATGAGTGATCCGTTCAACCTTCATCAAAGGAATTTACATTCGTGCGCTCCAAAAGATAGAAAAATATCAGTCATATCAGTAAAAATTGTGATTCACATGAAAATGGCGTATGTTCGATAGGCTGCATCTGTCACTGTCAGTTTTATAGAAAAACTCGAATAACTTAAAAACGTTAGAGATATCGTATGATACATGAATTTTAATCATGATTAAGAGAAGAATCCAAAAATGTTGTGATGGTGTGAAATATAGGGTCGCATTGAAATTAACAAAGATGGCCTCACTTCCAGTTAAACCGGAAGCTTTACAACAACGAAAATATTTTAGTTGTTGTAAAGTAATATTTTGTTGTTCTCCATGCTTCCTTCAACGTACATTCATACCAATTTTCAGGATCATGTTACTTTCAGTTCTCCATGTATAAATTGCGATAACTCAACAAGATAAGATATACCCTGTATAATACTTCTATTTTTATTTAATGTAAATTTTTCAACATTTGGCAATAACTGATTCAAATAGTTGGCCTATTGTACATGACAATGTTTTTGCACATATAGCAAAAATCTATTTTAAAGAAGTATATTTTTACTGCTGGCGGAATTATTATATTTTAATATTTTTTGTATACTTGTATTGTTTTTATTTGTTGTTGATTTTAGTCGATTTGATGTTTGACGTTATTAATGTTTTGAAAGACTTCTGTATCGTTTTCTGAATTATTGAGATGGGGCATTTATTTTTGTTAGTTTATTGATGAACCAAAAAAATTCGTGACGACTTTTCAAAAGAAAAAGGAATTGTACGTACATTTTAGGGACATACATTCATTATTGTATTTTTTCTACTAAGTTTAGTGTGTAAGGCACTGATAAAGTATTAAAATATGCGACTATAGAGTATAAATCATATATTGTGGAATAGTGGATGTTTATATTATTGTGATTGTCAGTGTGATAATGTTTGACTTGTTTAAAACTGAAGCAAAAGACTGATTCCATCCAAATAAAACAATGAAAAAACATCTTCTGTTTCCATTATTTCATTAAAAAAATCCTCTCCCTATCCTCCCTATAGAAAAGCACGATGTTCTTCGAACACTGTAGGGATTCCCTTTCGTGCGCCCCAAGAGAAAAAAAATCTCAAAATTTTCTGTCAACTCGTATTCGTTGATATTCAACAATGCGAGACAAATGAAGTCCTATAAGTCATGTTGATTACAATGTGTTTCATTTTGAAACAGAAAAACGACGTTACAACATTAGATAGACGGCACCCCAGGCAACCAGATGACGAATGATCACGTCACTGTGACGTCCTTGATTGGTGATTTTTCATCAGAGACGTCACACACCAATTTATGACGTCACTATGACGTACTTTTTATGACGTGATAATCACGTCATTGTTTCGACGTCGAGTGAACGTCACTTAGATGGGTAAAAGGAGACGTCAGTTTCATGACGTTGCAGGGACGTCCTGTCGACGTCCATTTTTCCCAGACCTTCTCTAAACCATGGATACTTATATATTATCATGTGAAACAGAAGTATAACTAATGAAAACGAATCAACATGCAAGTTCTATTCTAATTATCAATATAACCGGAAAGTAGTAGAAAAAGTTTTTTCTAAAAAACTTTGACACACTGTATATCTCGGAAACCAACAAGCTATGTATATATGAAAATGATTGTTTAGGTATATTGACCGTTACTCTTATGACGTTGCAGTGACGTATCTATGACGTCTAAAAATCACGTCGGTGTGACGTACCAATTTGGTGAGCTTCGTCATTTAGTAAATTTTGCAATAATTTACTATTTAGATTTTTGTTGGGTGACAAAGAATGCATCAATATACATCATTCAACAAAGTGAAGCCAAATTCGCCAACATCCTTTCCATTGCTATCAAACTATTCATTGTTTGGTTGCATCTCGCCGACACAAACTACATAATTTTTGATACAAATACGAGTAACTGGTTGCATTCTGATGGAGATGCGGATGGCGCTGCTGAATAGGCGATAGAATGAACATGACACAGTAGGGACCTTGTAGGGACCCACCATAAGCAGACTCAACAATGCATAATCAATATTATATATTGTCATCAGAGGCTACTGGTGTTGAAGGAATCTTTTTTACGCATCATCGCCAAATTCAATCGTCATGTTGACGTTATTATGACGTCACTACTGACGTCACCTTGGTCATTCTAGTGACGTAAAACAGACGTCACTGGAACGTCATCTGGTTGCCTGGGACCTGGATCTTTCTGAACGTTGTATTTTAGTTGGATGTATTTTATAACTGTCATTAAGGTTATCATCAACGAACCACTTAGTAATTGTCCTGAAATTTTATATTTTGGTAAATACGTACTCAGTTCTCATTCCACGAAAATTCAATGAATTTCAATCGAAAGTACACCCATGCTTTCATAGGTATTCTAGTTTCGTCAGCAGGGTTGATATTGCAGAAAAATCGTTCATAATGTCATTGTATATACTAATATTATAAAGAGGTAAGATTTGATTATTTGTATTGAATAGGGTCCGAAACTACTGAATCGATTTGAAAAATTCTTTCACCATTAGAAGCCGAACATTAAGTATCCCTGATGAACGTAGTTTTTTTTACTGCGTTAAAATGCTTCATTCC